CTGGCACGGCAGCCCCGCGTGCTGCTGGCGGCCGCCGCCGAGGCGCCGGGGCCGCTGGAGCCGGTGCAGCTCGGGCTGCAGCGCCTGGCCGCCGCTCTGTACGGCTGCCCGCCCAGCCTGCCCGCGCTGCTGCTGGGCGAGGACAGCGCGGGGGACCCCGAGGGGGACCCCGAGCAGGATCTGGACGCGGTGCTCCCCGAGTTCTTGGACGTGGCGGTTGGCGGCACCTTCGACCGGCTGCACGGCGCCCACCGGCTCCTGCTCAGCGCCTGCTGCCTCCTGGCCCGGCGGCGGCTCCTGGCCGGGGTGGCCGACGGAGAGCTGCTCCGCCGTGAGTCCGGGGCGGCCGTGGCACTGCGCGGGCACGAGGGCTGAGCCCGGTGCTCCCCGGGGCAGGGCAGTGGTCTGGGGGCCCAGTAACAAGTGAAGTCGTGGCAGTCACCCACACAAGGCGGTGCCATCCAGGCAGAGTGTCAGTGGGGATCCGGGGGGGACCCGGTGTCCTGCCCACAACCAGCGAGGTGTACAAGTGCAGCGAGGGCAAGGGAAGGGGGAGGCAGCGTTCAAAGTCCCATCTCTTGGTCTCTCTTTTCCCCCATCTCTTGGTCTTGCTTTTCTGTCTCCCGTGTGCTTCTCCGCCCTCCTGGCACCCGGCAGACAAGGTCCTGCCAGAGCTGATCGAGCCGTACGAGGTGCGGGCGGCGAAGCTGCGCGAGTTCTTGGAGGATGTGAAGCCCTCACTGTGCTACGACATCGTGCCTCTGGCCGACCCCTTCGGCCCCTCGGTCACAGACCCCGACCTGCAGTGCCTGGTGGTCAGCGAGGAGACCCGCCGGGGAGGGGAGGCTGTGAACAGGAAGAGACATGAAAAAGTAAATCCCACACTGGAGATCCCTGCCCACCCTCTCACCCTGATACTGCTTGGGGGCAAATTCGGTCTTGATTTGCCCCTTCCCTCTGCTGCATTCTCATGGCTGGGGCTCCCTTCTCTCATCAGGGGCTCCCGGAGCTGGCTCTGTATGAAATCAAATTGATGAAGGATCCTGACCACACTCAGAACGAGGAGGAGAAGATCAGCTCCTCCAGCCTCCGGCAGAGGCTGCTGGGGACGCTGCTGCAGCCCCCACGGGTGAGGGGTCCTGCAGAGCCCCAGCTGCAATGGGAGTGCCCGGCAGGAGGGGTGGGAGTCTTGGGAGTCCAAGAGTTTGGAGAGGCTGCCTGCTGCTCTGCAGGGCCTTTCATGGCCATCTCCAGGCCGGGGTGTCAGCCCCAGCAAAGCCCAGATCTCCGTCTGCTGCCACAGCTTTCCTCTTTCCCTTAGCGAGACCCAGCTCTGCCGCTGCGCCCGTACATAATTGGGCTGACTGGGGGAACTGGGAGTGGGAAAACCTCCATTGCCAAACTCCTGGGGAGCCTGGGCGCGTTCGTCATCGACGCTGACAAGCTGGGCCATGCCGTCTATGTCCCTGGTGGCCCGGCCTACGAGCCAGTGGTGACAGCCTTTGGGGCAGGTAGAGTCACTGGAGGCTGCAGGGAGGAGGAAGGGGAGGGAGGGGTGTCCCAGAGAGCCCTGGCCTGTGCCCCACTCCCTCCCCATGGGTTTTGGGCTCCCCAAGTGTTGTGTGTCCCATGTCAGAGCTGCTGGTGGGGAATGATGAACCAGGCTGCTGTTTGCCTGGAAAAAGCTCTTCTTCCCTGTCCTTTTCAGGAATTGGGTGAAGAGCTGCCAGGTCAGGTGTCTGTGTGTGCTGTTGAGAGCCCTGTGCCAAAGCCCTTTCCCCAACCCAGGCTTGCCACAGGGATGGGAGTTGTCCCTCCCAAACCTGTTGTGCTTCTGCCTTGCAGAGATCCTGAACGAAGATGGAACGATTAACAGGAAAGTCCTCGGGGCCAAAGTGTTTGGAAAGCAGGTAAAAGCAGGTTTATTGTAAATACTTAATGCTGTGAGTGGGAGCTGTTCTCTTGTGCCAGACGTTTTGAGTTTTCAGCCCTTTGAGATGGTGACACCTTCCTGGCTGTGTTTTCTGGCAGTGGCATGGGGACAGGGTGGGACAGGTCACATCTCTGCAGCTGAATCGGGAGCTGTGCTGGATACATTGCTCTTGTCCTGCAGCTGCTGCTGCCTCCCTGTTCCCATCCCTGTCCCCACTGCCATCCCCATCTCCTCTATACTGTGCTTTTCCTTCACCCACCTCAGAGCAACACACCTGACAAACACAGCCAGGGGTCAGTGCCCCTTGTGCCCAGGGGGGCTCAGTGGCACCTGGCCTTTACAGGTGCTCAGCCTGTTGCTCTGCTGCTTCCCCAGCCAAGGTGGAGGCACATCAAGAGGTTCTCTGGATGGACATGTCTTTTGTGGGACCTGCTGCACAGGGAGCTTGCTGTGCTGTGGAGCAAAGCACCTCTCACAGCAGAGAGTGAGAGCAGGGTCCTAATGGCAGGACAAGGAAAATAACAGGAGAAAGCACCCTGACCCTGGCAGCAGGAATGGGAGCCTCTGGCCAGTGTGAAAGCTTTCCTTCCTGGTGTTCAGTGATGGGCTGGACCCCCTCCCCACTTTCAGTGGCTCCTTCCTGGGTGTCCCCTGGCTGCTTACACCCCCACTCTCCTGGCTGGCTACAGAGGAGTTCTGAGGGCAAGGGACTGCATCTCAAATCCTGCTGTGTCCTTTCTAGGAGCAGCTGAAGAGGCTGACGGATATCGTGTGGCCCAAAATAGCCCAGATGGTGAAGGAGAGGGTCAGGGAGGCTGATGCTCAAGGTAACGAGGGTGGCTCTGTGGCAGTGAAGTGTTAGCAAGGTGGGAGTGAGCCCAGGCTGCTGCCATCCATGTCCCGGCACTGAGGAATGCCCTTGTTCCCTAGGGAAGGCCGTGTGTGTGCTGGACGCTGCCGTGCTGCTGGAGGCCGGCTGGCAGGACATGGTCCACGAGGTGTGGACAGCCATCATCCCGGAGGAGGAGGTGGGCAACACCCTGGGCCCCTCACTTACTGCCAGGGCTGGTCCTCAGCCTCTCCCAAGCGCCTGAGTGTCCCCTGTGTCCCCGCCAGGCCGTGAGGCGCATCGTGGCCAGGGACGGGCTGACCGAGGAGGCCGCTCGCCGCCGGCTGCAGAGCCAGATGAGCAACAGGCAGCGGGTGGAGCAGTCCCAGGTGGTGCTCTGCAGCCTCTGGGAGCCGGCCATCACCCGCCAGCAGGTGAGCCGGGGCTGCTGCAGCACCAGCGGTGCTCTGCGTGGTTGTGACGGGAGCTGCAGGCTCCGTGTGTGCTCAGGCCGTGCCTGGGTGCGCAGTTCACCATCGAGGCTGCACAGCGGGTGGAATTGGGGATGTGGATTCAGCCGGGAGGGAAGAGGCGTGGGACGGTGCTGTGGCTCCTGCCCCGAGCCGAGGCGCCGCTCGCCTCCCGCGGGCTCTGAGGCGCGGCCGGTTCTGTGGCAGGTGCAGAAGGCCTGGGACCTGCTGCAGCAGCGCCTGGGCCCGGAGCCCGGCCCGTGAGGGCCCGGCCCGTGAGGGTCCGCGTCCAGCCGCCACTGCCCACCATGGACCGGCGGATGGAGCAGCGTGGGACCGAGACCACCGGCCCCGTCCAGCCCCAGGGAGGCTCCGGGGCGTCCTTCCTGCAGTCCCCCCGTGACGGGGAACGCTGCAGGGCTGAGCCCCGCTGGGTGACAGTAAAGAGGCTGCTCCTGCAGTGCGTGTCCGTGCGCCCGTCCCGTGCCCGCTCCCGTTCTGGCCCCAGGCCCGTGGGGCTTCGTGTGGGACTCCCGGTGCCCATGTGAGACTCCCGGTGCTCAATGTGGAACTCCTGGTGTCCGTGTAGGACTCCCGGTGCCCGTGTGGGATTCCCGGTGCCCGTGTGTCACTCCCGGTGCTCAATGTGTCACTCCCGGTGCCCGTGTGGGATTCCCGGTGCCCGTGTGTCACTCCCGGTGCTCAATGTGTCACTCCCGGTGCCCGTGTGTCACTCCCGGTGTCCGTGTGGGATTCCCGGTGCCCGTGTGAGACTCCCGGTGCTCAATGTGGAACTCCTGGTGTCCGTGTAGGACTCCCGGTGCCCGTGTGGGATTCCCGGTGCCCGTGTGTCACTCCCGGTGCCCGTGTGTCACTGCCGGTGCCCCTGTGTCATTCTGGGTGCCCGTGTGTCACTGCCGGTGCCCCTGTGTCATTCTGGGTGCCCGTGTGTCACTGCCGGTGCCCCTGTGTCATTCTGGGTGCCCGTGTGTCACTGCCGGTGCCCCTGTGTCATTCTGGGTGCCCGTGTGTCACTGCCGGTGCCCCTGTGTCATTCTGGGTGCCCGTGTGTCACTGCCGGTGCCCCTGTGTCATTCTGGGTGCCCGTGTGTCACTGCCGGTGCCCCTGTGTCATTCTGGGTGCCCGTGTGTCACTGCCGGTGCCCCTGTGTCATTCTGGGTGCCCGTGTGTCACTGCCGGTGCCCCTGTGTCATTCTGGGTGCCCGTGTGTCACTGCCGGTGCCCCTACGAGGCGGTGCCGGGGCGAGGGGCGGCGGTGCAGGCCCCAGCGGAGCCGCAGCTCGGGGGTGGCGGGTGCTGCTCGGCACGACCGAGCTCCTGCGGGCCGGGGGGTTCCGGGGCGCGGGCCCGGTGGCCGCCCCAGCCCCGCTGACGTGTCTCCTCCGCCCGCCGGCCCCGCGCAGGTGGACGCGGCCTACGGCGACAATGGCCTGGACTCCGGTAGGTGCCCGCGCCGCCCCCGTTCGTGGGTGGCAGCGGCTGCCCGGGGACGCCCCCCTCGTGTCCCTGCGCCCGGTCACACCCCGCGCTGGGCACTGACCCCGGCACGCTCTGATTCCAGCGCTCTTCATGGAAAATGCCCGGAAAGGCAGCATAGTGTCCCGGGCCAACAGCATCGGCTCCACCAGTGCCTCTTCTGTCCCCAACACAGGTGGGGTTTGCTCTCCGTGACAACGCGTTTCTGCTCGCTGGGGAATCCGGCACGTGCCGGGCTTCAGGTCTGCCCTGCACCGAGGGGGTGAGCGTGGCTGGGCAGGATTCCTGTCCTGAGGAGAAGGAGGAGGAGGAAGGTGGTGGGAATAGCAACAGCAGGGTTTGGAGTTGAGAATCACTCTGGGTTTGACATCTTAAGGGAACTGCCGGTATCTGCCTCCTGCCAGCTCCCTGAGGAGACTGAAAGTGTCACCAGGGCTCCTTGGAAGGCTTTTCTCCTGCCCAGCCTGCTGTAGTTGAATGGGGTGGGGGCTCCGCTGGGCCTGGCTGCAGCCGTAGTGGTCCCTTGAGCTGTCTCGTGCCCCTCCTGGTGCCTCTGTGTCCCCACGCCCAGCCACACTGTGTCCCCACAGACGACGAGGACAGTGACTACCACCAGGAGTCCTCCAAGGAGTCCTACAAGGACCAGCGCCGCCGGGCGCACACCCAGGCCGAGCAGAAGCGCCGAGATGCCATCAAGGTGAGCGAGGCAAGGGGCAGCAGGCAGTGCTGCAGTGCTGCTGCAGCACCCTGCTCTCCCAGCACTTGTGTTCTGCTGCTGGACGTGCCCTGGCCCTGCCGGGCTGTGCTGTGGGAGCTGGGTGTGCTCCTGGCCCCACAGGATGAGCCCACACTCTGTGGCTCTGCTTCCCTGCAGAAAGGCTACAATGACTTGCAGGCCATCGTGCCCACCTGTGAGCAGCAGGATTTCTCCATCAGCTCACAGAAGCTGAGCAAGGCCATTGTGCTGCAGAAAAGTGAGTCCCAAGGGCAGGAGGGAAGGAGGTGCTGCCAGCCCCCAAAGCTCCGCCCTGGAGGTGTGCAGGGCAAGGTTCAGCACCTTGGAACCTTCTGGTGTGAGGGGGAGCTGGGGAGCTGCTCTCCTGCACTCACTTTCCCCAAGGGAGCTGGGTCAGTGGGTGCTGATGGTGCCCTGGTTCAGGCACCTCCTGTGGGGATCTCATGTGTGCCCCCAAATCCTCACTCTGTGTTTGCATGCTCAGCTATTGACTACATCCAGTTCTTGCACAAGGAGAAGAAAAAGCAGGAGGAGGAAGTTTCTACCCTCAGGAAAGATGTGATGGCCTTGAAGATCATGAAAGTGTAAGGGAAGAGCTGTTGGGGTCGTGCCCTCTGCTTCCTGTTGTTCCCTCCCATCCTTGTGGGGTTCTGCAGTGGTTCTCCAGCTGGGGACAGCCCTGGAGCTGGGAACCAGGAGCAGGAGCTGGTGTGGGAATTCAGAGCTGGGAGTGGCAGCTCAGAGTCACCTGTGGAGACCTCACTGCTGACCTTGGTGTGCCCTGCTTCTTTCAGGAACTATGAGCAGATTGTGAAAGCTCATCAGGACAATCCAAACGAGGGGAAGAACCAGATCTCTGACGAGGTGAAGTTCAATGTTTTCCAAGGCATCATGGACTCCCTGTTCCAGTCCTTCAATGCCTCAGTCTCTGTAACGAGTTTTCAGGAGCTCTCAGCGTGTGTCTTCAGCTGGATTGAGGAGCACTGCAAGCCCCAGGTGAATGCAGGGCTGCAGAGGGGCTGGTGCCATGGCTGAGGGGGCAGAGACGGTGGCACGGGGTGGCTGTCCCTCCACAGACCAACTGACTGTGTCCTCTCTCTGCCACAGACGCTGCGGGACGTTGTCATCGGGGTCCTGCACAAGGTGAAGAGCCAGCTCTACTGAGCCTCCCGTGCCACTTCTGTGCCCGTGGGGATGGGGCACTTCTGCCAGAGGCCAGGGTGCCAGGCACCACCCTGGGCCCTCTCCCTTGTGGCTGTTTTTAAGGTTCTCTGAATTATTTATTGTATTCCTTCTGAAGCCCAACGGTGGCTGTGCAATCAGTGCTGCTCCACTCAGTGCCTCCAGATCTTTGTAGGGACTGGGCAGGAGGGGAGGGAAAGGTGGGGAGCAGAGTCTCTGGCTCAGGCCATGGGGCTGCCTGTGCCACTGACTCTCCTTGCAGAGCTGATCCCAGAGCAGCTCCACTCTGTGCCCTCAGGCCTGTGCCAGCCCTGCTGTCCCCAGGGTGGGCAAGTGTGACAAATGCATACTCAAAACCATGGTTTCTGGTCTAGCAGCAGGAATTGCTTTTCCCTGACCCTCTGGGCTGTGCCCTGCCCCTCTGAAGCAGCTGTTTTGAGTCAGCTGTTGCATTTTGGAGGAGCCTGACAGTGCTGGCAGCAGGATGAGCCCATCAAGAGCTGGGAGCTGTGGCCCTGGCAGCACATGCTAGGGCCTTGATGAACCCCAAGCATGCTGCAGCCATGAGTCCCTGGGAAGGATCAGAGGAAGTTCCTGCAAGTGCTGGAACACCTCTCCTTTTCAGAAACTCTGGGTGTACTGCACAGCAAAGTTCTGCAGCTGTAGCATGGCATGGCTGTGTGCACTTGCTGCTCCTCCTTAGAACTTTTGTACACACACGTACATGACCAGCCTCGATTTGATTTTTATTATTGTAAATTTTGGAATGGTCCCACAGTGCTGCTTGTGCCAGCTGTAGAAGCAGCTGCTATCAGGGACATGTGTGACCCTCTCCCACGCCCAGTTTGGGTCACAGCTCTGCTGGGCACTGTCCAGAGTGATGGGACCAGGGTGCTGCCAGCAGCAGGGTTGGTTCTCCATAACCATGCTTGTGCTCCTGCTCCAGGGGCACATCCAGGGAATGTTTTTCAGGCAGTTTTTCCAGCACTGAGGAGGGAGTGCTGCCTCCTGCCTTGGGAAGAAGACGTGGAATTTTACAGACCTCACACGTGAAAGTGATGTATTTTTCTATTGTGAAAAGTAATTAAATAAATTTCACTGAATGTTTTAATGATTTTTCTGATGCTGAGTTCCTGGAGCTGTGCCCTAGAGCTGGTGGTTTCCAGAAGCCCATTCCAGCCCCTGTGGCTCAGGTTACCCTCTCCTGGCTCTGCCCTCCCCACGCCTCAGGGCCTAAACCCTGCCCTGACACCCTCTGAAGAGACAAACACCACAGGGATGTGCAGCTGAACCAAAATCCTGGTGTTTAATGGATCATATTCTCATGTGACCACTCAGGCACGCAGCAGGAAGCAGGCAGAACACAGTCAGAGCCCTGCAGCCCAGACAGTCCCTCGCTGCCTTTTCTTACCAGAACACCAGGGACACAGCACCAGTGCCCCCAGGTGTCCCCTCAGCCACATCAGACCCCAGCCAGGCTGCTCTGTGCACTAGGGGCAGGAAAAAACAACATTCCACTGCAAGGAGAGGGCCAGTGCCAAGTTACTCCTACCCACCACCCTTCCAACTGCAAAACATTTTAAAACAAACTCAAATAAATACACAGGACAGATCCCAGCGCTGCAAAAACAGAAAAAGAACAACCCAACAGCCGAGTTTCAGAGGCAGCTCTGCAGCAGCTCCCCAGAACAAAGGCTCCCCCAGCACCTCACGTGGTCGCTGGCAGCACGACGCCGTGGTCCTCATCTGTCTCTATCCCAACCTCCTCCTGCACGGCACCGAGCAGATCGGAACAGGCTCAGGGTCTGGTTTAACAGCTGAGGGCACAACCCAGCCTCGGTACTTACAAAGAATTGCTTCTTGCTCTTGGGATAGCCCTCCAGGATAGCATCCAGCAGCTCGGTGGCCTGGCGAGACAGGGCCCGTGAGGGCTGTGGGCAGCAGTCCCAGCGGGGCACCCCTGCCCACCCGCAGCACGGCCGGTACCATGCGCTTCCTGCGGCGCCACTCCCGGCGGTACAGCTGCTGCTCCCGGCACACCTGCCAACAGCAGCGGGTCAGAGCTGCCCCGCAGAGCCCTCAGCAGCCCCAGGTGAGCACTGTAAGGGAAGGGCTGGATAGATCCTGGATCCACACTGGCCCCGGGCTCAGACAGCTGTTCACCTTCTCTTTTTCCTCTGGAGTGACGTGGTTGGTAGCAGATTTAATCCTCTCCAGCTTCTCCGTGTAACTGGCACAGTCCTTCCTCAGCGCCTCGATCTCCCTGGCAATCTCAGGGGTGGTCATGGAGCTGTTCAAGTCCTTCAGCTCTGGGAAGGCGGCACCGATCACCGGCCGGGCTGTCACCCGGCACCAGGGCACGGCTGCCCGTGCCCTCGGGGATGCCGCGGTGGCTCGGGGCCGCCCGGCCGGGCACACTCACCCGCCTCCATGTGCCGGCAGCTCTGCTGCAGCGCCTGCAGCTGGCCGGAGCGGGCGGCGATCTCCCCGTCCAGCCCGCGGAGCTCCGCATCGCTGGCGACCGGGAGCTGCTCCTGCGGGGAGCGGCGGGTCAGCGCTGCGGGCAAGCGGGGCCAGCGGGCGGCGGCGGCGGCCGGGGCTCACCTGGGCGGCGAAGTAGATCTTCTGCTTCCCGTAGACCTTTTCACGCACGCTGCCCTGCTGCGCCAGCTGCTCCAGCGCCTTCACCACGGCCTGCGGGACGCGGCGTCAGCCGGGCCCGGCCCGCCCCGCCCCAGCCCGGCCCGGCCCCGCTCACCGCCTTGCCCAGCCCGTGCTCCCGCTGCAGGTTCCCGAAGGCATCCTGGGCACTGTACGGGCGGTTCTGCTCCCGCAGGTACCGCAGCAGCACGGCGGCGGCGCCTCCTGCGGGCCCAGCCCCGGTCAGCGCGGCCTGCCGGGGCCGCAGAGGCCGCCCGGTGCTCCCCCGGCCCTCCCGCACTCACCGCCGCCCGCGGCCTCGCGCCCTTTGCTCATCCCGCGGCCCCGCGCCTCCCGCCCCGCTCCGTTCCCGGTTGGCGCCGGTCACGCACTTCCGGCGCGCCGCCCGCTGCCCGCCAACCGCGGCCAGGGCGGGGCAGGCCGTGGTGGGCGGGGGAACGTGCCCGGTACCGGCCCGCCCCCGCGGGAACGGGCCGCGCACAGCCCAGAGCGGGTCGGAGCCGGGGGCTCAGCGGCCCGGGGCAGGCACTCACCGACGGGAACCGGCGCTCCCGCCGCGGCAGCCACCTCCTCCCACCAGCTCCGCACCGGACTCGCCAGCGAAGGGGCTCCAACCCGTTACCGACCTCCCGTTCCCGGTTGAGGCCGCCCCACCGCCCCCGACCCCCCCCAGCACGGTCGGATAAGCAGAGTCAGACAAACAGCAGCCAGTAACGAGGTCCCTGACGAGGTACGTTCTTGGCTGCACAAACGTGATCAGAACCGGGTCTGTATGGCTTAGGAAAAGTAACGGGGGCTCGGTGGGCAGAGCGGGGCTGGCTCGCCCTGGGGGCTGCTGGTTTGCTCACGGGGCCGCGGCAGGCACGAGCTCCTCAGTCACTGCTGGTCTGGGCTGCTGTTCCCGTGCGGTCTCGGGGCTCTGCCTGCCCAAGGCTGGAGGCAGCAAGGGCCCAGGGCACACAGCACCGCCCTGCCAGCCCTGCTGCACCTCCTCCTTCCTCCAGGAAACCTGCACGGCCCCGGCCCTGCCCACGGGAACGCACTGGAGCAGCACACGGATTTCTAGCAAAGTGTTAGTTGGCTCTCAACAAAGGCTGTTAGTTCAGAAAAGCAACACAAAGCAGGGGCTACACGTGGATGTTCTTGTAGGTGGTCTGATGGTCACAGCAGGTGTCTTATTGCCATTGAGCTCTTACAAAACAGCATCACGAGGAGCTGGAGCCAAGGGAGCAGCCAGTGCAAGGAAAACATTGTGGCTGCACAACATCCACAGTGGAGCAAGGGGCTTGGTTCCACCTGGAGTTGGATATTGCTGGGAGAGAAGACTTGGATTTGTGCACAGATTGGGATATCAGGGAACAGCTGTGTGAGACAGAACAGCATTGAGTCCCAGACATGATGTCTGAGGGGCTCTGTCCTGTTCCCCTGGTTACACATCAGTGCCAGAACTCAGTGCACAATTGTTCCTGGCGATGCTGTCAGTCCCACTGGACTTGAGAGCTGCAAACACCCGATTTATTGTCTCAGAGAAAGTTTGGAGCAGGCAGCATCATGTCAGACAGTGCAGAGTGATTGTGGAGCTATCCCATCAACGCCTCTTCCCTCCAGATTGCCAGTGTCCTTTATTTTAAGATCCAAGCGAGGCTATGAGTCACAAGTCACAGTGGTGTACCCAGCCAGCACTGGCTGTCACATCACCCAGACTCACAGGAGACGACTGAGAGAACTGTGCAAAGCTTTTCCTTCTAGGATTCACTCCATGATGCGCAATAGAAAACCAGAGGGAAGTGACAGGGTGGTTTACTGGCCCCGGGAGCCAGTGGGATCCAGCTGGTTCAGCTCGGACTGATCCAGCAGTTCAAAGTCATCCCCTTCAGCGTCAGTGTCCAAGTCCAAACTGGCTGCTCTGAGGTGAGTCTTTGCCCCTCTCTGGGGGTTGGTGCTGCGTGAGGAGCCTGGCTGAGAGCCTCCTGACAGTGCCAGCTGGATCATGCCCCTGGTGACAAAGCCAGCGATGTTGTTGGTGAGGTTCTGCACCGATGGCACTGTGCCAAATTCCTCCTGCTCGTATGGGAGCTGCAGCTCCTCTGTCCCTTGTGGGCGGTACGCCAGGCTCGGGATCCCAATGCTGGTGTCATCTTCATCATCTATGCCAGTTGCTTCTGGGTTTATGGAAGGGAAGTCAGGGAGATCCCTGGCAAAAGATTCTTCTGGGTCACTGTGACCATCCAGGTCTGGAAGAGGAGAAAGTGCTTTAATTGCCAGTAGCCACCAGCACCCACAGGCCCAGGCAGCAGCTGGGCCAGCAACTCCCCTGGACAGGGTTGGGAGCTCACAGTCCACTCTCTCTTCAACATCTTCCTCCCCTCACCCCAAGTGTCCAGATTCCTCTGACCTCCCAGCTCACTCAGTGCTTTAATTGCCAGTAGCCACCAGCACCCACAGGCCCAGGCAGCAGCTGGGCCAGCAGCTCCCCTGGACAGGGTTGGGAGCTCTCAGTCCACACTCTCTTCAAGATCTCCCTCACCCCAAGTGTTCAGATCCCTCTGACCTCCCAGCAAGGAACACAGTGCTGAAGCAGCCACCTGTGAGAGGGGAGCAGCAGCACCCACAGCCAGACTGGCAGAGCCTGATCTGCCCGTGCAGAGCTGCTGCCCTCGCTCAAGCACCACAGAATGAAGGAGGAAGTTCAGTTCTGAACAAAACAGGCACTTGCAGCTCATTTCCAGCAGCAAGGCTGACATCAAACAGCCAGACTTCAATGATGGGAGGTAACACATCCTCCCTCCGACCCACCACACTGGCACCTGCTTGGCATTCCACACCTTCCAGAAGCTGTTTCCTCTCACCTTCTGATCCCTCTGTCAGGGGCGTCTGGCCCCTGGAAAGGTTAAACATCCCATTTTCAGTATAGGAAACCTCAGCATCTGAATGCTCAGAGTCAGAGATGGTCAGTTCCTTGGCAACCATGGAGTCATCCAGCTTTGAAATAGAAGATAAAATTGAAAACATCAACACTAGAAAGGTTATCCCCATGCCTCAAGACAAAATAGATGATGGAGTGGCCTCCAGCTGAACCTGGACCCCATGGGAGACTGGTACTTGAGACTCATTCACATTTACTGCACAGTCTAGGAGACTGCAGCTGGCACAAGCAGCTCTGGACATTCTTTAGTGGAACAGAGTGGGAAAGACCTATCTGAAAGGACAGTGTCCTCATCTGCTTTCCTATCACCCTCAGCTGTGCTGCCAGATGTGCTGCTCACACCTCAGCCAGATGCTGCATGTCCCCCCAGTGGGGTTTGTTCCTTCCAGCTGAGCTCTTCCCTCTCCAGAGGCTCTGTTACCTTGGGGCAGAACGCAGCCAGCTCCTCTTCGCTGTCACTCCCATCATCCGTGGCTTCCTGACCAAGGGCCCGGCCACGCACTGTTAGAAACCAGACACAAAGCTGTT